TCCATGTAAGTCACTAGTAATTTGAACTACATGCAATTGTATTCTATCCTGACTTACTGTAGTTGATAAATTCATATCTCTAAATTTTTCTATCAGATTCATCTCATGAATCATTAGTGAAGAGATGTGTAAAGATTTCCTACTCAGTGCATCAGCCACAATATTGGCTTTTCCTGGATGGTAATGTAATTCATACAAAATTAATCAAAATTATTATAATATTATTTAAAAAATTACATTAATTTTGTAATAATATTTTTAGCTGTGTAATAACTAAAATTATTTAAAAAATATATATAATTATATTATTAATAGTTAGTATTTATTTTAAATTTTTATAAAATTAAATTTGAGCTATTAGATAATTTTAGATCAATATAACTTAAAAATTTAAAATATATTTCTTAAATAATTTTATTGCTTAACAAAAATATTATTACAAAATCAATATAATTCCTTAAATAATATTGTAATATTTTTAATTAATTTTGTAATATTATAATTAATATAATTTTTTAAATAATTTTTATAAAATTAAATTTAAATTATTAAATATACATAATGATAAAAGAAGGTCTGAAACCTAATGTTGTTACTTATAGTACTTTAATGGATGGGTATTGCTTGGTTAAGGAAGTGAATATTGCAAAACACGTATTCTACACTATGACCCAAATGGGAGTAAATCCAAATGTTCACAGCTATAGTATCATGATTAATGGATTATGTAAGATTAGAAGGGTGGATGAGGCCATGAATCTCTTAAATATGGTTCCTACTACAGTGACTTACAGTTCTCTTATTGATGGATTGTGCAAGTTAGGGAGAATCTCTTGTGCTTGGGATCTTATCGATGAGATGCACCATAGAGGTCAGGCAGCTGATGTAATCACCTACACTTCGTTATTAGATGCTTTTTGCAAAAACCAGTACCTTGACATGGCAATTGCATTATTTAAGAAAATAAAAGAACGGGGGATTCAGCCAGATGTGTACACATACACGGTACTTATTGATGGACTATGTAAAGGGGCAAGACTTAAGAGTGCACAAGAGCTTTTTCAACATCTTTTGATTAAAGGCTATCATCTAAATGTTTGGACGTATAATGTCATGATCAGTGGACTTTGTAAAGAGGGCTTGTTTGATGAAGCTTTGGCCATGAAGTCAAAAATGGAAGATAATGGTTGCATCCCGAATGTTGTAACTTTTGAAAGAATTATTTGTGCTCTTTTTGAAACAGATGAGAAGGATAAGGCTGAGAAACTTCTACGTGAAATGATTGCTAAAGGCCTATTGTAGTAAGAATAAAACTAGGTAAGATGCTTTCCAGTTACAAATTATGTTATTGCGAATTTTGATGGAGATCAACCAATATTTCTTTCTTTCTAAAGTTTCATGTACCAGGCAATGGACTCACAATCACATTTAATTTGATTAAGAGTCATATGTTGTTTCATTTATTTTGATTATCTTTGATTGTTTTTTTTAGTCTTGACCTAAAACAATATTTCTTCCTAGTGAGTGGAGTGCCTACATTTAACAGTTGACCCTGTTGTTAGTGTACAATTATAGCTAATTGTTACTTGAAAGTGTTTCAGATAACAAACCTAGCTGAAATAGACATGTTATTTGAATGCTTTCTTTCTTTTAGTTAACTCCATTTACCCCTAATTATAGAAAGCATAATTGGGTTTTGTGTTTCACTGTTTATTTCACGTGGTCATTTTGCAGAAAAGGAAGAGTTAAAATCTAAAGTATATTTTGTTTGCATTACCTGAGCTGTCTTAGGTTTGACAGTTGCTGATATTTTCTTTAGGTTATTGCAGCTAAGTTAATTGGTGCTTTGCTAGAGCTTATTTTGGTGGTACTCATTCGGGATTATGCATTCTGGTTATCATCTAAAGTTTGTGTTTTGGGGGATTAAGAAGAGATATAAGGAATGAAGATTATTTTGAATGCTCAAATTTACTTATGATCGTTCACGAGGTTAATACCTAATCATTTCCTTCATTAGAGTTGGACATTAATTTGATCTCAGCTGAGTTGGACTTTAATTCCCTGGTTTGTTTACTTTAGGTGCAGATCAACAACTTGAAGTCTAATTTGGTCTTTATAATTTTTCTGTGGCGGTACATATTTTCTTATGGTATAGTTGAAAACTTCTTTCTTTTGATTTTAGCAACTAGGGATGGAGTTACCTGTTACTTGAGGTTGTGAATTAGTTGTTCTAACTTCTAAGGCATCTAAAATTTAGCCATGAACTTTATTTTGAGGCAGTACCCAGGGGGAGGGGGGTTCCAAACAGACACTTGAAAAGAAGGCTGAACATTCAAAAGTCAAAAACAAGAAATGAGAAACCCTTTAATTCCAATGAACTTTGGGCATGAGCCAACAATGACCAAGTATATTATTTTTGTACCCTTTTGCTTGTGTGCAAATACTTTCATCTGTGGGCAGAATAACATTTTCCACCTGTTTTCTTTCTGAAGATTTTGGATTTTAAGATTTTAATTCCCAAGTAGGTGGAAAAGTGGAAGAGGTTATGCTATGTGTGAAATTGGTTATTTTGACGATCAAATAGGACTTCAAGGCCAAATAATATGTACTTTCTGTCTCTCCATCTGAGATAGGTTTGCACAGTTTTTGAATCATTTATTTTCAATCGGTGGAAAATGCTGTTCTGTAAAATGTAAATTGCTCGTCATGAAGTATTGCTTGTCATCAGGTTCTCGACACTCAACCCTTACCAGTTGTTGCTACAAGACACTCCAAGGGGTTTACAGCATTGAGGCTGAAGCAATTAGTGGTTGTTGACCTGTTACGAACATAGATAGTATCTCAAGTCTTTGCCAATATAGATAGTGCGATGACTAGTGCAGTGGTGGTGGCTGTGCTAGCAACAATAATGATGGAGATCTCTCATCCTGGCTCTGATATCCCCTCCTGCTGTTGGTTGGCCTCTAGGTATGCTGAAGTTGAGTCAAAGATGATACCATTTATAAAGCAATCAGGTTTTGGGCGTTTTATTTTGCTTTACTGTCATTTTAGGTTTCATTTTTGTTAGGTATGAGCCTTTACCTAATTAATAGCCTAAGGTTTCTTGATGTTGGTTCCTGACACAGTATTGAAGCTTCTATGACCAAGAGGTCAGGAGTTCGACTATTGTATTCCTACTCTTCAAAATTAAACTTAAATTTCAGCATAAAAACTGGTGTGCTTTAGCCTTGTGCATTCTGTAACAAGTGCAGCAGGGACAGAAGAGTCAATTGAAGATACAGCTAAGCAAGGACACCTGGCAACAGATTCCAATAATTAGGGAGTGAGGAGGGGCACAAGAATCAGAATAACTAACTCTAGGCTGCAGGATTTTGATTGGTCTAGGGTATAGTATATATATTCTGTTTGTTAAGGAGAGAGGGGAGGAGGATTGATTCTGTTTTCTTCTCTCTGCATTTCTTTTCTGCTGGTGCCATGTTTGTTTCTTTTTACGTAATTTTGCTCTGTAAAGCTACAGACTTTGGCTCATAATTACTCGTTTATGAGTTTTCTTTAATATCATTCAGAGCAGTATTTTCTCATTCCAATTTCTGGTGCATTTGTTTGTTAATTACTCTGTTACATTGGTGCTTTCATCCACATGGCAGAGAATACTTGCCTTAAAGAACTCACTGCTGATGTTAAGCGAATCCTGGAATTAACGGAGACACGGGATAAAGAAAATGTCATTAGATTTGAGACCCTGGAGTCTGCCATTGATACATTGCTGCAGCAAAAGTCCGCGAACCCTTCCCAACCGTTTCAGGTGCGTAATGTCAAGCTGGATTTTCTTCGCTTTGATGGATCCGATGTATTTCAGTGGATCTTCAAGGCCGAGCAATTTTTTTCGTATTACAATACTCCTGATGATCATAGATTAACTATTGCTGCCATACATTTAGACAAGGAAGTGGTACCTTGGTATCAAATGTTGACTCGTCATGATTCATTTCATTCATGGGTTGCGTTTACTCGAGCCTTAGAATTGGAGTTTGGTCCTTCTCCATATGAGTGTCCCCGGTCTCATTTGTTTAAGCTAACACAAACAGATTATGTGCATAATTATTATGTTCAATTCATTGCTCTAGCTAATTGTGTGCAAGGTATCACCACTGAAGCTTTGTTAGATTGTTTTATTGGAGGCTTAAAATCAGATATTAGAAGGGATGTGATTGCTCAATCGCCCTCAACTTTGATTCGATCTGTTTCCTTGGCCAAATTATATAAAGAGAAGTACCTTTCCAAACCCGAACACTATCAAGCCTACCCAGCAGCCAAAACACAAGCCACAAACACAAGCCTACCTATAAGCCAAACCATTAAATCCACTAGCTTTCCACCCCTCCTTCCTAATCCTACATCTCCAACCACAACAACCATAAGAAATACCAATATTAAGAAAATAACACCTGTTGAGATGCAACTTAGGAGAGAAAAAGGCCTTTGTTATACTTGTGATGAAAAATTTTCCCCAAGCCACAGGTGCCCCAACAAACAATATTTGCTTCTCCAATTACAAGATGAGGATTGTGGAGAATTACAACCAGAACCTCTAGATATTGAGCATAGCACAGAATTACATCTGTACCAAGAGCATCATTTATCTTATAATGCATTAAAAGGAGCCTCCGGTTTGGGTACAATGAAGTTCCAGGGTTCTGTCAATGGCATAACAGTACAAGTGTTATTAGACAGTGGCTCGAGTGATAATTTTTTACAACCAAGAATAGCTCATTGTTTGAAGTTTCCTATTGAGCCAATTCCAAATTTTCAAGTTCTGGTGGGGAAATGGTAATGCCTTAGTTGCTGAGGGGTTGGTCAAGGACTTAGAAGTCAGAATTCAGGGCCATTCATTGACCTTGTCAGTGTATTTATTACCTGTTACTGGGGATGGGGGCTGACTTAGTGTTGGGGGCTGCATGGTTAGCTACTCTTGGTCCCCACATTTCAGATTATAGTAACCTTACATTGAAGTTTTACCTGGGAAACCAATTTGTCACATTGCATGGCGAGCAACCAACCTTACCTGTGCAAGCTCAGTACAATCATATGAGAAGAATGAATCACACACATGCCATAGCTGAGCTATTCACATTGCAATTTCAACAGCCAGATTGTCCTCAAGACCAATGGTTAGATTTACCTACTGATATGGAACTGGAATTGGTGGTGTTGTTGCATACTTATAGGGTGGTGTTTTCTGTACCTTCTGGGTTGCCTCCTAGTAGGTCACAAAACCATTCTATTCCTCTATTATAAGGATCTGAACTGGTGAAAGTCAGGCCATACAGGTATCCACATAGCTAGAAACAACAGATTGAGATTATGGTACATGATATGTTAAAGGAGGGGCTTATTGTCCCTAGCACTAGTCCTTTTTCCTCTCCAATAATTCTTGCCAAGAAGAAAGATGGAACCTGGCGATTCTGCACTGAATATAGGGCCTTGAATGCTATCACGGTTAAGGATAGCTTCCCTATTCCGACTGTTGATGAACTAATTGATGAGTTACATGGGGCTAAATTTTTTTTCTAAATTGGACTTGAGATCTGGGTACCACCATATATTGGTTAATGAAGAGGACAGGTTCAAAATCGCATTTAGAACCCATCAAGGTCATTACGAGTGGACAGTGATGCCATTTGGTCTCACTAATGCACCTGCAGCTTTTCAAAGCTTGATGAATGAAATTTTCCAAGGCTTGTTGAGGAAATTTGTTCTTGTATTTTTTGATGATATTTTAGTATACAGCTCTTCATGGTCTGCTCATTTACATCATCTTGAGGTCGTATTGCAGAAATTACAGCAGCATAAACTATTTTCCAAATTGTCTAAATGTTCTTTTGGACTTCAGCAAGTAGATTATTTAGGCCATAATGTTTCAGGCCTAGGGGTGGCGATGGACAAGAGTAAGGTGAAAGCTGTTCTGGATTGGCCATGTCCAAAAAACTTGAAGCAATTGAGAGGATTTCTTGGCCTTACGGGATATTATAGAAGATTCATCAAGCAATATGCAGTGGTGTCTGCTCCTCTCACTAACCTATTGAAAAAGGACAATTTTAAGTGGGACGATTCTGGTCATGGTTCATTTGCAGCTTTGAAAACAACAGTCACTCAGGCACCTGTTTTGGCTTTACCCAATTTTTGTAAACCATTTGTTTTAGAAATGGATGCTTCAGGAGTGGGAATAGGTGTAGTTCTCAGTCAAGATCATCATCCTATTGCTTTTTTCTCTAAGAAATTGTCTGCTTCAATGCAAAAAC